AATCCCCGCGGGGAGGGGGGGGGTACGTGACCTCAGCTGTAATCCCACCCACTCCCCTCACCCCGGCCCCCAGCGCACACGGGGGCTATGCAAATCGCCCGGCCGGGAAAGGGGACGGGCGCCTCCCCAGGGGTGGAGCAGCCGGGCGCCTGGACGGACAGACAGACACTGGCCCTGCGGGGGGTCGCTCCGCGTCTCATCCAGCCCGGGGCTTCCCACGGTGGCCAGGGAGGAGCCCAGACCGGGTAGAGAAACCACCCACGCCTGGCTCCCACCCACACGGCCCTTTCTAGTCCCCACCCGGGGGTGGGCGCTTTGGGTGCGGCTCACCCCCAAAAGTTGGGGGTTCACTCAGTCAAGCCTCTCCCCCCTCTGGCTGGGGGGTTCCTCTGGGCATGGCTGTGGAGAAAGGGGTCTCCCCTCACCCATCTGGGCTAAGGAGGGGGGTCTAGGCAGCAGCCTGGGCACACCTGATTAAGCCACAAGGCGTGGGCTAGGAGCTCTTACACGCGCAGACACACAGACAGCCCAGCTGTCGGACGCGCGTCCTGCTCTCAGCATATCCTGCCCGGAGGATCAGGCAAGACCCCAGCCCAGCCTTTAAGGCGTCGGGGATCTGATCCAGGCCGCTGCACGGACAGTTGGGATCCAATCCGTGTCCCCAAATCCAAGTACTGAAAATTGTGCGGACAGAAGCTAATGCACCGAGCGAACGCCAGCCTTCGTACAGGGCGCTGCGCCATAGAAAGAGGAGCAGCGACGCTGCTTTACCGTGCCTGGCCATTTCACACACATCCTGCCCCCAAAGACCTCGACAGAGATCGCATCGGACAGGAGGAAAAACGCAAACGTACAAACCAAAGGCAAAGGCGAGAGTGAAAGGAGGCATTCTGCTGAATCTCCTCCGAGAGGTGGCGCTACTGGATGCACTTACATCTAACCCGTTAGTTCTGTTTAAAGCCAAAGTTTGCAGTAGAGGTTTAGTTTCAGCTTTTAGTCTTCTCGTTGAACTGCCCGCGGTTAGCGCCCTCCAGTGGCAGAGGATGGACCAGACCAATAATACTTAGATTTCCCTGGTTGCTTCAAAGAAGAGATAGGAAATTGAAGTCAGACATTGGGCCCATGCCCTGCCTGAGTGATAAGATGTGTAAGCAATTAATCCTAATATTTCCTTGTAGATATCTTTCAGGCTGACTGATACCTAGGAGATAAAATGGTTGCTGGCTACACAAGCTATTGTAAAAAACAACAAATGCCTGGCAAACACCATGCACTTTTGTGGTGCACACCCAGGTAATCATTGAGTCAGGTTTAAAGTATTTGATTTTAGAAACCTTTCTTTGCAGGAAACTATAGACAAAATCATTAAATAAACTCATGTGATTGGTCATATTATGATTATCAAAACCACTTTCTGCAGTTTTTTTTTTATCAAACAGGCCCCTTTTTATTATTTGCATTGTAATGTATCATGGAAACTTAATTTAGGAGCATCATAGTCCCTTAACCTAGAAAAAGCCATGCTTCAGCTATTTTATGTTTTCCTAAGTTCTAGCACACATTATCAAATATAACCTGTAATTCATTTTTGGGAAACGGATCCTGCCACCCTTCCTCACAGTCAGTGGCAACATATTTCTAAGAGATGGTGACAATTTTAAGGATAAAGTTTCATAGAAGCACCTACAGGAGTGGGAAGAGAAAAGTCAGAAAATATAAATAAATCCCTGAGGATAAACAGAAATTAACTCCTACTTGCACCACACATTAACAGGTATTCATTTTCTCTAATAGTACTTTCCTCTTCCAAAAGCCATCTCATCCCACTTGTCCTTTCTGTTGCCATGGAAATTAATATAATTTTGCTGATAAGCTCCGGAGAAGATTTTCTGGAATTACAACAAGGGATTTAGGGACCTCAGTGCTGTGTGTGTGTCATGGCACCTATCTTTTAGGCACCGAGACCTAGAATATCAGAGGAACAATGCTGGGATGGAGCCACAAAGCTGAGTTAGGCATCAAGGCTCTCTAGACTATGAATGGAGAAAGCTGGATGACTGCACATGCAATCCCCCAAAACAGCACGCTAGGTGGGGTCCTAGCCAATGGGAGATGCCCATGGCAAGGGTGTGTTAAGCCCTGCTCTTCTCTCCTAGTCTACGTCTACACTGGCAGATTGTTGTGCCAGAAGTATGCAAATGAGCAGGGCTCGCCAAGCCACAGTGAGTCCCGCTCGCCAGCCGCGCTATCCAGCAATCTGCGCATGCGCAGATCATCCGAACCCAGCTCTTCCGGTTTGTAATCTACTTGGCACGGGCGAGTAGATTACACAGATTGTCGAGCCCTGCAAATGAGGCAAGCATGGAATATTGCCGAGCCTCATTTGCATACCTAATGAGCCGCCATTTTTGCAGAAGAGGCTTTTGCACTAGAAGCTGTCTACACTGCCCCTTCTTGCACAAGAAGAACCCTCTTGCGCAATGCCGTTATTCCTGAAAATAATCAGCGTAGTGGCATTGCGCAAGAGGGTTTTTCTTGCACAAGAAGGGGCAGTGTAGACAGCTCCTTCTAGCACAAGAGCCTCTTCTGCAAAAATGGCAGCTCATTAAGTGTGCAAATGAGGCTCGGCAATATTCCACGCTTAGCCTCATTTGCATACTTCTGGAACAACAACCCACCAGTGTAGACATAACCCTAGTTAGTCATTTAAGTGCAAGCTCCAGGGAGGCATGTATGCTAGTTTAGCAATGCACAAATAGGAAGCAATTGCCTGCAGTCAGATGCTTAAGCCCTTTTGGGGGGAATGAGGTAGGTGACCCTCAATCAAATGGCTGGAGGAAGAGGCCCCAATTAGAATACAACTGCTGTAAGGGTCTGTTCCCTCTACTCCCTGCAAAGAGGAGAAAGGATTTGAATACGTGTCTCCCAGCTCCCTGGAGAGGGCTGCAAGCTGACAGGCCACTCGGATGTAGGGCTCCCTCAGTCTCTCCTGGGGAAGCTGTTACCCTTTATATAAATGACTAAGCATCACCAGGCCCTCACACATGAATGCCCTGATAGGGGATCACAGAATCATTCTGGCTGCAGATAGGCAGCAAGAGAGAATGACACTGTAGGAAGTAAGCAAGTGAATCTGATCCCTCTGCTCCGGCCCTATGTTATTTTTGTCCAGAATGCAACAGAATGAGCAGGAGAGACTGAGAGAACACTGCTCCCTCCCCCTCATCAGACTATCCCATAGTGCAGTGGTTAAAGGATTCTGGGGAGAGATGAAACACACACACCAGTCCAAGTCCAAATCCTTTCAGGCAGAGGGGTGGGGAATTTGCATGTCTCCCAGTCAAGTGCTCAAATCACTGGTCTAAAACATGTCTCCCAGTCAAGTGCTCAAATCACTGATCTAAAAATTATAAGACGGACAGTAACAGTTTCTCCTCTACCAGACTGATTTTGAATGGGACCTGATCTGGTACACAGCCTCTGAGCATGTCTGCCATCTTGGGCCTGCCAGTCCACGACTTAGGCAGCTTTTGATCTTTTCCTGGTTTTGAGTAATTCTGGGGGAGTAGGTGGCAGATAGGCAGCAGCATGCTTGCCCAGAGATAGGAACATAAAAGGACCTAGGAAATTTAGGGATGGTCTACACTGGGAATATCAGTGCTGCTGCCAGGCTGAAGAATCCACACTTCAAGACATAGCTAAACCAACTGAACCCCTGGATGTAGACATTACTTGGTTGATAGAAAAATTCCTCTGTTCACCTAAGTACTACCTGTCAGAGAAGCAGATTACCTATGCTGACAGAGCCCCTCCTGTTGGGATTTAGTTCACACCAGAGCACTGCAGCCATGTTGCTGTAGAGTTGCAAGTGTAGGTAGCCTCATATGCCAAAAAATTTAGGAGCTGAGTTTAGGAAATAGCAGGAGTTTTGTGGATTGCAGTGGAACCTAGGCATGAGGTTTAGTTGCCTAAGTCCCTTTGTGGATACCAACCTTGCTTCCGAGACTACCTAAATTGTTAAGAGTAGCTAATCATAGGTTCTGCAAGTATGTATGTGCTGGAATAAATCCCACTTTGTCAGAGACTATTCATTTACATTTTACTAGGAACACTCCCTAGACCACTGCATAGATCCAGGAGAGCAATGGATCCTATAGGCTTAGTTGATGGGAAGAAAAATAGAACTGCAATGTTGGCATAAACATCTCTATGTAGAGGAACAGCACCATAAATGATGTAGGCTTTCCCCAGCACAATTCTACTGTTTTGAAAGGGAGGTCAGAAGAGCAGATGAGGCAGAACCAGATAAGCAGCTTTGTCCTAAGTTCCTAGTGTCCATTCCTGCCCAAAAGTAGTCTAATGGAATGTGACCGTTAGCCTGACTCTTACTGTGATTTATCGATCACTTAAACAGAATCAGAGCCTGGTGCTGAGGCAACCTGACTCTTACTGTGATTTATCGATCACTTAAAGAAACAGAATCAGAACCTGGTGCTGAGGCAGTCAGTCAGTCTTCGGAAAAGCTGAACCTTTTAAATCTATCTTCCTTTTTTAAGGAAGGCTGGGTTGAAGAACATTTCAGCTGTGAACAATTCTAAACGGTGCATGTGTCAGTACCACACACCGTGCACCTTTCTTGTTTTGCTTCAGTGCAGTCCTATAGACTATGTAATAAAGGCCTTGACCATCACCAAACCGAGACTCCTATAGAGGACCACCACATAATGTTCCAGAAGCAAAGACCCTTCCACCCAACAAGCCAGATCAAGCAGTCAAGTGAATTTAATAGCAACGAGTAATACAACAAAACCATTAAGTAGGTAATGCTGGTGGGAAATGGGCTGGCAATCAGTGCCATTAAAAAAAAATTATTTCTGAAAGTGAGTCTTCTTTTGCAGAGTTGGAAAGGCCTATCTATTATCCTATACTCCATAACTGGACTTCCTGAGGCTAGAGTAGAACTATTAGTTCTTAAATAATTACAGGCCAAGCACATGAGACTATTTAATACTTGTGGAGGAGCACCCACTTCTGGTAATCAGAAGTTTAGTAAAGAAGAGTCCCTCACCCTGAAATGTATAGGGAGACAATAATTCCTCCACCCTCTTTCATATTAAAGAGACAGTTTTCTATGTTTGAGAATCATGAGCAGGAGGGCCCCACAAAAATACCCACTGTGAGGTACTGTGGTAAAGAAATTGGTGGGTTTTAAAGATTCAAACAAAGGTAAAGTGAAAATATCAATGATACTCTTAGTAGACCATCATCTTAACACAGGAGAACTTGCCAATAAGAGCATCAAGGACAATACAAGTTTCCAGGAATTTTGACTAGTCAAGTCTATATTTATGCATATGTGCATCATGCTGAACATTTGGTAAAAAAAAATATCCACACAAGTATACACTTCCCTTGCTTTAGTTCTGCAATTATGTCATAAGCCTTAGTTCAGATTACTGCTGAATATGTATTAAATAGGTTACAGTAAGACCTACTGAATTTGAAGAAAAAAAAGGTCTTTTAATATTAAACTACGTAAAATATCTGCAATATTTAAAGGATACTAATTTATGTTACATGTCGTAAAATATCTGCAATATTTAAAGGATACTAATTTGTTACATGTCTATATAGAAATAGATGGGTACAGTACCTAACGTTAGGTATATATAAAATTTTTAAAGCATTTTTTAACTATTGATTAAACACACATGGACCGTTTCAGACTAAGAAAAAGATATTTGTTAAACCCGAGAAAGAGTATTAGCCATCGATTTTAAAAAACTGCAACCTACTTCAAAAAATGAAAATTGCTTTTAATTTTTACATTGTTATCCATGATTAAGACCATCATTGATCAACAAGATAAACATGGTAGTGATACAAAACATATAGAAATATTTAAACGTAACTGTACAAAATAATTTAAAGCTTACAAAAATCTCATGCTAGCTTTTTTGACTGACACAGTCTATGTAGTCTCCTTAGAGAAATATATAAGATCTCTGAATTATTTATTTTTTTAATAAGTCAAAGAAAGAATGCTGTAAGGCTTCATCAAGAGTGATTCTTTTGGATGGATCATACTCCAACATTTTGCGAATAAGGTCAAATAAATTCTGATGTTCCGCATCATGACAATGCATTAATTCCTGAAAGAGAGAAAGCAACTCATTTACATCGACACTTCACAAATATTAATCTAGCTGAGAAAGAAATTAATCCTTTTTTTTTTTTTTTTACCTTTAATGGTTTACAGCGTCTCCTAACATATCGACCTGCAGAACTATGTTCATCCCAGTCCAATTGGTCATGCTGAAAATAGCGTTTTCTGCATAGAAAGAGTTTTATTAGCAGTATTTTCTAAGTTAAATCTTGGAAATATCTACATCTTTTCAAGCAATTTTGAAACACCATAAAAATGATATATACTTCATATTCCTCTCTGCCTCGATTACAAAAAAACTTTATTTTTCAGATAAAATATATACATGAGAAAACATGTTATTTTTGCTATATTGGAATACTGGAAAAACAGGTTAATTACTTTCTTTTCTTTGGCATTAAAAACATTTAATCTATATTTACATGACTGACAAGTTAGCAAGCCAGAAGCTTCAAAAAGATAATGACTGGTTCTCAGCTTAAACTGGTATGTGTAAATGAGAGGATATCATCAGCCTTATTGATTTTTCTAACTTTTATTAGTCTAATATCATAATTTTGGTTTCTTACATTAATCTTTCTAGTTTTTGAGAAGAGTCGTCACAGTTAAATTCCTAGTACAACTGGATACTCTCAAAGCCTTCAACGACTATTTTTAAACACCTAAAAGCTATAGGTCCAAATAAATGCTTAACAAATGCACTTGTGGAGGATGCAGGGATCTTATCCAGTTTCTGCAGAATGTAAGCATTCATTAAAATTTAACAAATGCACTTGTGGAGGATGCAGAATGTAAGCATTCATTAAAAAAAATAACTTTTGAAACCTATTTGTAAAATAACAAACAAGCAATTACTATAACTAGCAGAGTGCTATCATCCTGAATCTGCAGAGAGACAGCTTTAAAGAGTGAGCTGTGTAAAGCTTAAATTCTGGCACAATCCACAGCCCAATCATCCAAGCCTGTCTTTTGGAGGTGCCAGCTGGGTTGTGGGGAAGAAATCCTGCCAGACTAGATGCCTCATTCCACAGTACTGGAATTTCTCCAAGTCTGCTTCTTTAGCCTCACAAATAGAGTAGCCTTTACACTATTTGCCTCTCGCTCCATCCTTCACTCCCAATGTGCTGGGAATAGATTGGCACAGCAGCAAACCCACTAGCTTCTCTCCAGCTCCATCCCCTAGGCCTCTCTGTGCACAGGGATGCAAAGAACTAGGCTCTGAAGTGTACTCCATGCACAGTGTCCCCAAATCCTAGATCCATTATATAGCAGACCTACACCAGTTTCTATCCAAAGCTACCTCTACACTGCAGCGCTATTTCGGGATACCAGAGGTATCCCAAAATAGCTATTCTACGTCTTTTGAGTGCGCCCATTATTTCAAAATATAATGGGCTTACTATTCCAACCTCCCTGTAAACCTCATTCCATGAAGAGTAAGGGACATTTTGGAATAGAGATTTATTTTGAAATAAACTATTCTGAAATAAGATTGAATGATATACCTTATTTTGAAATAAACTATTCTGAAATAAGTTTGAATGATATACCCAATTCGAATAGCTCAAATTGCATATCTTATTTCGACCTATGGTGCAGTGTAGATGCACCCCAAGTGTCTTCAGACCCAGACGACTTGCCCCAAAAAGGAATGAACAGACTTCTTTCACCTCAAAGATGTTAACTATGAAGTCTATTTCTCTTAATCCATTCATCTTTATTTGTGCTCTCAGCACTACTAGATGCTGGAAATTTTGGGGGCGTTACAATCTACTTCCCATTACTGATACCGAAATTTTACATGCATTATAAACACTGCTGGAAAGTACAATAAATCTGACTAAACAGTTATTGATGGACTTATTAAGAATGGGTCTCATGAATGCTGGAAAGTACAATAAATCTGACTAAAGAGTTATTGATGGACTTATTAAAAATGGGTCTCATGGATAATTACTTGCACAATTTAGATTTTTCAGGGTTTTTTTTTCTGATGCTCCAGAATTCCTCAGCACAAGTTATAGCTTTTTAGACAAACATCTCACTGCTTAAGCACCATTTATAAACTAAAGCATTTCTCTGGCTCCAGGACTTTCTCCCTGCTGAATTTCAAAGTACTGCAGCAAACAAGAACAATGTTAAGAGTTTTTCTAAAAAGGTCACAAGAATCAAAAGCATTACAAAACGTAAATATAGGGGTTAGCAGCTCCCCCGTACCATATTTACCTTGATTTTTTAATCATGTGAGTTGGTAATGGCCCTAATAGTCTCTCCATCATTGCTAAGTGTTCTTTACTATCATGTGTCTGTAGAAAAAAAAGACATTGCAAATTATAAAATATTTCTTCCCTTCAATTTACATATGCTTAATCTACACTTCAAATGTCAGCTACTGCTTTATCACAGAAACATTACACATTACTAAAAGAATCAGTTATGCAGATATATAAGTATATACTACGCTTTCCAGACAAAGAGTTCCCTTAAAAAAGTTTATAATCTAAATAAGATCACATACACATTTAATGATTTCTATCTTATACCTTTTTTCTATTCTGGCAGTGTTTAAATAAATTAATAATACATACCAACTTTAGCAGCAAAATTTTGTTTAAAATAACGCAGACATCAGTAGAATTTCCTGAGTCAATCTCTATTAAGAATTTGAATTTAGAATGACTCATCTGAGGAGCTCAAATTCTTCCATGACCATTAAGCTTAAAGCCCCCCTTATTATAACCAGTTTACTGATGTATAGTCTGAGGCAGAAACAGAATGAATGATGTGTCTGAGATCATTGGGTAAGCCAGTGACAGAGTTTTAATCAGTACCTAGAGGTACAGACTTCATCTATGCTCTAACCCATTAAGAAATGTCAACTACCTCATCAAAGGCACCTGAAAGCATCGGAAGCCTTTTAGTTTTATTATCTCCTCTTATTCAAATATAATATTTTGTGAAACTTTAACATCAGCCAAAAGACTATTGAAACCTAGTTCTATCTACTTCATTCCTCCCTGTACGTAACCATATCTAGAAATAAATTATGTAACATTTTGTTTTTTGCTTGAGAAAGTTATGCAAAGTAAGAGGATTTTAAAAAAAGAATGGCTACTTTATATAATACATTGTATGTAACATCATATCGTTATATAAACGTGTCACTGTTGGTTGTATTACACTACTAAAATTTGAAAACACGTATCTCTGCTTAACATACATACCTGAAATACTGTAAAACCAAGGTAATATTCAATTAGAATGCAACCTATACTCCAAACATCACAGGGCTGTGACCACCCCAGCGCTATAAAAAAAAAAAAAAAAAAAAAAAAAAAGACAAAAATTCCAAAGCATGATTAATTTTTAGCATAGGTTGAAACTGTGTAAGTCAGCAATTAACCTCCACCTATTGCTGGCTAAATTCCTAACCTACTTGTCCTCATTTTTTTTCCTTCCTGGAATCATTTTTACAATATGGAAAATAGAAACCCTAATTTAGCAAAAAAAACCCTGCCATTTTTTTTGTAATGTGTACTGTTGTAGTCATGCTGATCCCAGGATATTAGAAAGACAAGCTGAGTGAGGAAATATCTTATATTGGACTAAAAAAACCCAGCTTTCCAGCAATACAGAGCTCTTCTTCAAGTCTGGAAAATGTGCTCAGCAGGCAGATGTCTACATAACAACTAAACATACGTGGGCTGGCCTGCATCAGGTGACTCAGGTTGGCAGGGCTTGGGCTGAGGGGCTGCAAAACTGAGGTGTGGACATACGAGCCTGGGCTAGAGCCCAAAGTATGAGACCATTGGCCAACACGGGGACCTAGAGCCCAAGCTCAAGCCCAAACCGCTACACTGTATCTAGAGCCCAAAGTATGAGACCATTGGCCAACACGGGGACCTAAAGCCCAAGCTCAAGCCCAAACATCTACACTGTAATTTTACAGCATTGTCGTCTGAGCCCACGCCAGCTGATCCAGGCCTTTAATTGCAGTGGAGTCATACTCAGATTGTTACTGGCAAATATAAGGTGGAACAGATGGGTTAGCATAAGTAGTTAACATATATTTCAAGGAGCCATTCAACATGAAATGATATGTTAATAGCTCTGAGGCTTTCTGTTGGGCTATTAATAGAGTAAGCCATCATTACCTACTAGATGGCAATAGCAGAAATGACTATATATATTAAATTATTAGGACTGTCAGTAACTAGTTAAGAGTACCTTTATGTAATATGTTGGATGTCTGAAGTGAATAGCAGCTAAGAAACAAGGTCACATACATGGGAAAGTCTCTACTGACCTAAAATAACCTCAGGGGCTCTGTAATGTCTTGTAGACACTAGTGTGCTGTGATGTTCATCATCAAAAGTTGCGCTTCCAAAATCTACAACTTTGATGTCTGTATTTTTTAGTGTACGTTCATCCCGCTTCTGTAACAATCAAAATGCACATTTGTTACATTTTCTTAATAAATATTTAATAAAGCTTTACGTTCATACACATATAATTATAAAACACCTGCAGGTTTCCAGTTGACCTAATTACAGATAAACTTCCAGTCCAGCCCTATAAAACTGCACTCCCTGCAGGTTTCCAGTTGACCTAATTACAGATGAATCCAGTCCAGCCCTATAAAACTGCACTTTCTCTCTACATTCACGCCCATTCAGCCCAACTCTAAAAAAGGCAAAACGAAAAATTTCACAATACACAAAGCAAAAGGAACAAACTTTGCAGCTTACCCTGAAAGTTAGCAAATATGGGCTTTGTTACATGGAAGTTCAGTGCACTTGCACATGTGCACAAATCTAAATTCCAAAATCAAACATCTTCTGTTGAAAATTTTCTCAGCTGAACATTTCTTAATATTTTGTTTCTACAATGTTTCTATTACACTCAACCAACTAGTAAGACATGTGCATAAAGAGGTTTCTAAAGAATGCATGACCCAAACTACAAAGGGATTTATAGATCAATGGCTTCAGATGAACTGTAACAAACAGAAGCCAGTGCAATCTTTAGAGCACAATCAATTTGCTTGCTGAAAGAGGTTCTGCTGACTAAGGGTATGTCTACACTATGGGACAAAGTTGAATTAAGATACGCAACTTCAGCAACATTAAATGAGCAGCTGAAGTCAAAGAAACTTAAATCAGCTTTTGGTGCTACCCACCCAGAAGGAAGTCGAAGGAGAGATACGCAACTTCAGCAACATTAAATGCGCAGCTGAAGTCAAAGAAGCTTAAATCAGCTTTTGGTGCTACCCATCCAGAAGGAAGTCGAAGGAAAAACACACTTTCTTCAACTTCCCTTACTCCTTGTGAAAGCAAGGTTACCGGTATCGACCGGAGTGCCCCTCTCACTTCGAATTAGCTGTCTTAACTAGACAGCTAAATTTGAACCCTAGAATATCCAAAGCAGCAGCTTTGATCTTCCTTTGTAGTGTAGATGTACCCCAAGTGGTCATTAGAGCATCTCCTGGTATAGTGCATAACAAGTCAATCTGAATATGACACAAGGTATGGACAGCTGTGGTAAAATCCACATCCAAAATAAATTTACAAAGCCTTCTCGCTAAGATGCAAGTAAAAAAGCCCTCTTACTCATGTCATCTGAACATTCAAAAAAAAAAAAGTATCAAAAATTGCAAGCCTTACTGACAAAATCAAACTCAACAAAAAAGGCACAAGTTACTTCTGCTCTTTCATCTGTTTATCCTTAATATTAAGCCTCTTGTCCAGGAAATCCTTATCTACTCCCTTAAGTCTCTGGTACCTGCCGATAGAGACAGCACCCACTTTAGCTCTAAAGAAACTGAATCAGAACCGGGTCTTGTCCACAAATCAAAGGCAGCAAAGCCCACATTACTTCACTATTTCCATAAGCAATTCATGCACATTAAGAAAGCAGGACCAATATAATAGAACATATTAACCTACATGAAGTTACTAGGCAGACAAACAGTTACCCTAATCCTACGTTCTGCATCTCAGAAAAAATGGAAAGCAACCCTCTCCCTCCTTGGTCAGGGCCCACTGGAGTAACATCACTTCACAGATACAGAAAAAACTAGCACATACATTTGTTCTAGTCAACTGTCAGAACATCACTGACTAACACTGCCAAACTGTTCGCCATACCATAACTAAGTTAAAAGGTTAAGTAAATCTGAGCCATCATCACTAGTGTCTCTAGTACTTCTGAAAATGGTAGATAAGATGGACAGCAAAAATTCTCAACATCAAGGGAGTTTTTTGACAAGGACCTAACAAGTATGTCTTAAAAAGACAGTGACACCGCATCTCTATGTTGAAAAGATGTACATTTACCATTTTAGAGTTGTACTTTACCACGTAGTCAGACTCCACAAACAAAATATTTTCAGGCTTCAGATCAGTATGAGTCAACTTATTATGATGTAAAACTACAAAAGAAGGAGAAAATGCAAATCAATATTTAATACATTTACTAAAAATTTTTAGACATACATGCAGACAATGAAAATATTAAATATACTTACAATTTATAGACTGGCAAATCTGATATGCCATCTGTCTTATGTCATTAATATGAAATGGCAAAAAGCTGTTTTCTTTAATAAAGTCATACGTACTAAGTCCCAGCAGCTCAAATACAATGCAAACATGACCATGATGATCAAACCATTCCAGCATCTGGACACAGCGGCTTTTAAAAAAAAAAAAAAGTCAAGTGAATACTCAAATCATATATGGCTCATTCTGCAAATCCTTAACTCTTTGACTTGTATTTCATGTTTATACTTACAATGTGCTGCTGGGATCCATGGTGTTTAAATACTCCAATACCTGTATTTCTGAACGTGCTGCTTCACGGTACCGACTAACATTTTTCACAATTTTAATTGCTACATGCATTCCTCTCCTTTGAAATAAAGATAACTACATTAGTTCGCAAACATATCTAAAATTCTAATGTACCATGACCACCAGAGACACTGAAACATTGTGGGCACCAAAGAATTGCAGATTGTTTTTGGCCATTTAATTTTAGCACTTTTGAAGGCAGGACAAGCATTACATGGTTTTTAACAGGAGCTCTGATTAATCAGCAGAAAACTAGATTTTAAACTAGACTCAGTTTGCAGATGGCCTGGAGATATTGCCTCAAGCAGCACATGATACATTAGTCTAGTCGCAGATGGCCTGGAGATATTGCCTCAAGCAGCACATGTTACATTAGTCTAGTCTCAAAGTGTCAAATATATGGAATAGGGGGTTTTCATTTCCAAAGAGACAGAGTAGTGCAAAGTTTCTCTGCAATTTAAACCACTTTATTCTTGCTGATTTCTGTTGTCCTTGGCTAGTAGCAGTGAAAATTAACTTTGACGGGCATAAAAATTAGCTTATGTTTAAGACTGAAGGCATGTTTCCCACTATTGTAATTTGATAAATATGCACGTTTTTCATTTTACGTTAACATTGTAATGTTGTTTTGCTTAGAGCTAAGCACAGATCCAAGCAATTCACCCTCTCTCATTCAGACAATGTTGTCTCTCCAGTTTATTAGTTGAATGGTAATGATTTAAAACTCATTTACAATGTGACACCAAGATCCTAAAAAGGATTAGTCAAATGACAGCATGAACAAACCATCAAAAGGAAAAGAAGAAATCAACTACAACAATGTCAGGGGAACAGGAGATATAAAACACATGGTTAATTACTTTAATCTGCAGCTTTAAGTACAATGTTGAAATGACCCAATAGTTGAAGGAAGGAGGGGATTTTTTTTTTTAATCAAAAGCCATCTCCCTGATACACAATATCAGGAAGAAAGACACTGTCTTAATGTGGGTCTGTAAGAGGTTTGATATAGGTGTTAAAACCACTATGATCTAGTGCAGCAGTTCCCAACTGCCAGTCCACAAACTGGTCCTGGTCCATGAACCACTGGCGGCTGGGTCATGGCAGCTCTGGGGGCCAGGGCTGGGATACAGCACCCAACGCCTTCCCTCCTGCCATGGCTGTTGGGAGAGGTGTGTCCAACCAGCGCCAGAAGAGGTCTCCCCCGGGACATAGAAGAGTGGTTTGCTGTGCAGTGGGAGTGCCACACGGAGGCCGGCACAGCAGCCTCAGAGCAGCTGTAACCTGGGCAGCAGCGCTCAGCTGGTGGCTGGGAGGCAGCAGAGGGCTGGATGAAGGGGGCAGGGCAGGCACTGGGAGCTGCAGGGCCAGACGAGTGCTGGGGGTCTCTTGTGATGGGGGGCTGACAGTGGAGGGCTCTAAGGAAAAAACTAATACGAGGGAGCTATGCAGACCAGGGAGACGGGGAGCAAAGCAGAGCAAAGCCGTGGAGCACGCGGGCAGCAGACAGCCCAGATGCGTCTGGGCTGTCCACTGCCTGAGTGCTCCGCCGCTTTGCTTCCCCTCCCTGGTCTGCTGGAGACCAGGGAGACGGGCCCCATTCGTAACTGCGGATCCGACATAAGTCGGATCCGCGTAACTCGGGGACTGCCTGTATTGCTAAACACAGCTCCTCCTCAGAATGACAGCATGTTACATGTTATCTGAAACTGTATTTTGTGTCAAAGCAATAATCACACCTCGAATTAACTTCATTGGCTACAATACTGCCACTGGGCATATAACTTCTGAACTACTATGTCTGATCCCAACCTAGAGTTTTTGTTGTTACAGTGTCTTTAAGATGATGACTAATACTTACACATTGTGATCAATGCATTCCACTACTTTTCCAAATGCCCCTTCTCCTAAAGTGGTAATAATTTCATCTAAAAAGAACAAAACACAAGTTAGAACAATTACTGACCTACAGAACCAATTATAAAATGTGCCATTATAAAAGCATAATTAAATTTATATCTCGGCATCTGAACATGTTACGTTATTGGACAAGTGTCATATAAAATGTGCCATTATAAAAGCATAATTAAATTTAAATCTCAGCATCTGAATATGTTACGTTATTGGACAAGTGTCACGGAAACAATTAGCTAACAACTATCTCTTGTTCTAATCTCAAGTTTCATTTACTACTTTGGAACTTTTGAATAACGGTATTTAAATTTTACAGAAAAGATATGCAAAAGAACAAAAAGCACAAAAGAACAAAACAAAGAACAATGAAGATTTCTTTAGCCCCCCTCCTCTGACATACTATTCTAAACAGAGTTTCTGCTGAAAAGCTTTTTTAAAAAAGGGTTGAAAAATGTTCTATACATCTTGCTCTTAGTACGTCTCCACTTTCACAGATCAGGTGACCCTCCTCATCATCCTCTACACTCCTGGATCCTTTCCTTCGGTGACTCTTCTGGAAACGGCACCAAGATCGTCCAGCCAATCAATATATCAGAGTGAATTCAGGGCAGAATACGCAATTCATTCAGCAGGGAGATATTCAGGCATTCAGTTACGCACCAGGGCACGAACAGTTGGCAGGAGCAATTTCAAATTCAGTCCCCAGAAATTCACAGGGCACAGTTTATGTTACAGAAGAAAAACATGGCAAGGAACAGATTTTCAGATAAATACTTCAAGTGATAAAGCAACAGAAAATATAAACACAACTGTCTCTCAAACACTGGTTTAATTGAAGACTGAGATTAAGACTGCAATGTCATTATTTAGTAATATCTTGTAATTAAATGGGAAAATATAATCTTTATTGTATTGTATATATACGGTCTTTTAACCAAGGGAGAATTCCTTGACTGACCCAGTAAAAGTTTTAAAACATAATAATTTTATAAATTAAGATTTTTATCAAGCAATGCTACATTTTTCATATTTAGAGAAACAGTGGAAAAATTACTCAAAAGCCCTTGAACTTCAGTGCATGATCTAACATAGCTTTCTACTTCTACTGAAAAGTGGGGAAGTATGAATACTTAGAATCATAAAACTCTTAGAGCTGAAACTATTCAAATGGGCACAGTAAAAAATACAAATCGCATGTTTCTGCAAATTTCAACAAACATTCAATAGCCATTAGTCAGACACATGAATGATCACAACTAGGAAAGGAGCAAGGTATGGAACTGAAGTGTCTGTTACGTATTAAAAGATAGACATCAGTTGTACTGTCATGTTTATCTATTATATTTAAATAATCGTGTACATTACTTCAGTTCTCAAACTGGCTGTAAAATAGCTATTTGACCATACTGTGACATTTATACTGTGAAGCAAGAAAGGTGCTTGCAATCATTTCCACACCAGAATTTAGAGAAAGTAGGTAACCTACCTACTGGCCAAAGGATATTGCCAATAGAACAAAGTCTTCGATAAAATAGTACTAATGATAAATATTTTCCTTAGTGCTACCTGTTTACTGCGTACCTGAAATTCTCCTCTAAGTTGTATATATACATAGGAAGAGGCTCACCTATGAACCTTTTCTATATAAAATATATCTGTCCCAGATACTTGTGGCTTAGCAATGTAAGTTCTGACATTCACTAAAGAATTTTATCACTAATCTATTAATAATAAAGTTAAAAATTACTCATACCGAATGTGAATGGTGACCAGAGCCATGACGTCTTTTATGCTTCCTTTTATGACTACTTTTCCTGCTCCGACCAGAGGATTTGCTATGGTGGTGACGGTGACTCTTTTCATAGTCTCTGTGATAATGCCTGTTGTCATATACTTCACAGAAGTCATTTCTGTATTCTTCAACATACCTCCGGTCATGATGATCTCTCTCATTTATGAATTTGTCATCCAAATAATGGCTGAAAATATATTTAAAATGAATTTTCTCCACTTTAAAAATATTCTCCACTTTAAAAATACTTGTGTTCCAACAAAATAAATATCTTTGAGTTGCTAATGCTTAAATGTACATTTATGGCATATTTATTTACAGAAGGAATTTTGCTTTACAACAATTCCCCCCTAGAAAACCGCTAGAGATTTTCAGGCTAGTTTATATGATGGAGTTGATTAAGTCATCCAATATATATTACCTTACTTTGGAATTGTGTACGCAGAATAACCTGTACAAGTATTAAGAAATCCAAATGCAAATAGGAAATATTCATCTCAATAGAAGTACTTGGCATACTCCGCTCCAACAATTCAAATCTCTCTTTAAAACATACAAAAATCAAAAGATGAAGTGCAAGCCCAAGCTTTCTTGAATACAACAATTATCTCCTTCCCTCTCCTTAAACCACACAAGCATATAAGAGAAACTCTTAAAACCCAATTTGCCACCCTGAAGAATTTAAAATCCTGTTGTTAGTGTGCTACATTAAAACACTAAGAATCAGAGATTTTTGGTGCGAAGACTCTCCCTCCAGAAAGTAGGGATCATGCAAGCTGCAGCACAGAAAAGAGAATCTCATGGTACTGCACATCCACTCCTACCATTTTAGAAGCAAACTGATCAGTTCTTTAAAATATGGTCTTCCTTTCTCAAAGGAAGGACACAGAAGACCTATATCCCCTCTTAAAGGAAAAGAAAGAAAAGCAAGACACCTGAAAAATGAATGAAAGCAATCTATCCCATACTTACCCTTCTATAAAATGTTTTAAGAGAGCAAACATTCACCTTCTTCCTCCATCCTCTTACACACGAGAAACATTTTATTAAAATTTAATACTGCATATTGTATTTCAATATAAATCCTTACCAGGCAGATTTTCACAGAAACAGATTGGATGTTAATATTTTGTATCAAAGAATCACAACTAAACAATTTAATCACTGTATCACTAAAACGATACATAACTTAAGCGTGGCAAATAATGAGCCAACTCCTAAAGGCATTAGCAAGTCTTGTCTTCTCAAAACAATTTTTTATTTAATTTAAATTAATCTTACTTACAATTAGAGATATCAGTATTGGTAATTCAAAGAATCTTTTACCTGTCTGAAACTTCAAGATGATGTGATTTATGGGGTTTGCTTTCTTTGTCACTGCTGTGGGACCTCTTGCGTTTATGGGGAACACTGTGACTTCCTTGATCCCAGCTCTTTCTATCATTCCACTCAGAGCAATGACTTCGTTTTGAATGTTGCATCTTTCATTGACATATTTAAAGGGGGAAAAAATGGTTCCATTTCAGTATACACAGATATGACAGTCTACTAATCTAGATTAGAGATGTGAAAGTTTAACTGCTAAACCTCACCCGCTTACTGGTTAAGGTAAACCAGTGGGAGCTGGAGCAGCTCACTATATGCCACAGGCAGGATCTACTCCAACCCTATAGCGTGCCCCCTGCGGATAGGGGCTGCTCCAGCATGGCCAGTGCAGCCTCTTCTTGCACGGGTGGAACCACAGACAAGGGGGGCCACTTCAGCCAACCCCTTTAAATGATTAACTGGCTAAATAATTTGTTTAACCGGTTAACCAATTAAACAGGATTTTACATTCCTAATCCAGATTCAAGAGACGGGTTCATACAGAAATCACAGTTTACCATTGCTCATTAGGGATCGTTTAATTATGTCAGGGAGAGTTCTCTCCCGCTAGCATAGAATGGCTACACTCAGAAATCACAGTTTACCATTGCTCATTGGGGATCGTTTAATTATGTCAGGAAGAGTTCTCTCCCACTAGCATAGAATGGCTACACCGGAGATCTTAGAGCAGTAAAGCTGCAGCAGTACAGCAGTGCTGCTGTAAGGTATGTACTATAAACATAGCCTAAGGGTAGTAAGGGCTCAGTGTTCTCAAGATATAAAAATGGTTACAGATTAAAGCCTCAATCCTACATTGAGGGCTTGTTTTCACAAACAGTACTGCAGCTGTGCTGCTATAGTTCTTTAGTGAAGATACTACTATGGGGGTGGCCAATCAGTTTGACAGGAAGAGCCAAAGGAGCTGTGGATAGTAGTGCAAAGAGCCACACATCCCTCCTCCAGAGCCAGGCCCCCCGAGCTTTCCCCACTCTAACTCAATGCTCTCTCCCTCTGCCAGAACCAGGCACCCCCAACCCCCTCCCATTCTAACCCAATGCCTGGGTCTCACCAGAGCTGCCATCGCCACAGCCATGCACTTCTCCCTCCAGGAACTTGGGGGGTGGGGGGGAGGAGTATGCACAAAGTAGGCATGAGGCTCCGAACAAGCTGTAACCCTGAGAGCCACATTTCCTGTGAGCAAAGAGTGGCATGTGGCTCAAGAGCCACAGGTTGGCCATCCCTGTACTACTACAATGACAGAAGAGCTTCTTCAGTTGGCGTACATAAGGGGTTTTTCAAAATTAGGTCATGGTGGGCATGTTTGGGAATACCACTGGCAGGCCAAGAGACACTTTTGTTTATCTAAGCATCCATGAACACACAGCAGTTCACCCTTTCCAGCCAAGGGGAGCTGCGGGAAGCAGGAGTCCACCCTCACACTGCGAGATCTGAGCCAGGCCTTGTCCCAGTGTAGAGCAGGATCCAGCTGTTCGCCATCCTGATACATTCCAGAATCAAGTCCTGCAACCGCCACCTGCAGATCTCATCCCCTCCCGTCACCTTTGGCGATGCTCACAGGAGGTTAAAACAGGGAACCATTGCTCCAACCCGCCCACTAGCTCCCTAGGCCAATTTCAGCTACTAACATTACACAACTACTGACTCTGTACAGCTCTGAACTGCCTGTGCCAGGTCCATTACTGTGCTTCCGAGCAGCTGCCAGGGCAGCCAAGGAGCACTGGGGCCCCTGAAGGGGAGCAGTGGGGGCCACTGGCCCCGGGCAGGGAAGGCTCCCCTACGGATACCTGCTTCCTCTGCAGATCCCAATCTAGTCAGGATACAAGACCCTGTCTCCCTGGCAGTTCCTGGCTGTGAGAGCGAGAGGGTGGGGCCGGGAGGATCTACAGGGGAGGGGGATGGGCAGTGTGCGGGG